ACTCTTTCCTGCCTATGCAGGGGGTCGGACTCGATGATCTATTGAGGTCCCTTCTGACCCTAACATCTATGAATCTATGAATCTATGACAGGGCATAAATAAGATGTGTGTGTTCCTATTAAACCAACTGCAGGTGCTGACTTGGATTGGGGGGAGAGAGGTGGGGGGCATACAAATACATTGACTGTTGGCCTGGCTGCTGGCTCTGCAGCTGTAGTCCAATATGCAGTCACCACCCAGGTCACAGTGCTGACCTGGTATGCCTCTGCTTAATGATTTGCATAATGATTGTTTGCATTGGCTAATTTTCTGTTTCCCTTCATTGTCTGTAATCAAAATGTAGCACCAACAAGATTGTTGGGAGTGGTCTGAGGTATGTTACTACAGTGGAAGAATAATCATCAGACCATAGACAAGGCTGTTTAGAAATTCACTTACTGATACCATGTTATCATGTCTTTACTTTTTGTAGACATCCCTTCTAATTTTTAATTGTTTATATTTCATTAATTTTCACACAATTCTGTCCCCATCTTTATGTATAAAACACATAATCCTTATTTATAAGGACAATTAAACAATTAACAATTTTAAATTATAACAGCGTACCAAACTAACACAAAACGTATAGTAACTGAGCCATAGTCTCATCTCTACCAGTATTTGACCAGCAGTAATGGCAATTAAGGTTACAGAAAGAGGCTGATGCTATGTCTTCCAAATTTACATTTTTTTTCCTGGGAGAAGCAAGAAAATAGCGTATGACATATTATGTAAACCGACAGTAAGGTGAAAGATGAAAATACTGATATTTGCATTCCAATATAGCATCATTTGTTTTATGTTTACAGATATATGTACTGCAGTATAAGAAATTAATTGACACTTGCATGGAAGAAAGAAATCGTGCTTCCTTCCAGTTTATCACATGCTATAGTTATATGTCTTTCCAGTTTACAGCGTAGGAGTGAACTATTCAGTCCTGCATATACAAAGAACAGCACAGAAAAAACAAGAACAGACCTTGCTCTGTATATCGTGTTTAGTCTCTGTCATTGAAAGGAGACACTGAAAATGACTGTTATCTCAGTGACAGCAGTGTATCAACAGGAACTGCATTTCAGTCCCTGGTGTGTTGTGTGGCTAGTATATGAGATCAGAATCCAGGCACATTTTGCAACTAAAAATTATTATCTGCATTAATTACAGACATTATGGGCCAGAGACTATCAGACAGCAATGTTGACATTAGGGCCAGAACCTCTTCCTCTTATTAGGTTTCTCTAAGAATGATATTACCTCATCCTGTTAGGGGCCCTGGATATTTGCAAATGCAATTTTCCTCATTGCCTCTTCTGATTTGTTTTAAGGCTAATGTCATAGGATCATAGGAAAATAGGGTTGGAAGGGAAATCAGGTTGTCATCTAGTCCAGTCCACTGCTGAATGCAGGATGATACCTGACTAAACTATCTCACTCAAGTGTCTGCTTAACCTGTTCTTGATAATTTCCAGGGATAGAGTCCACATCTCTAGGTTGCCTATTTTAATGTTTAGCCCACTTCACAGTGACAAATTTATTCCTATTGTGCAAGCAAAAATTTCTCTGTGGCAGTCTGAGGCCATTTCTGCTAGTCCTGTCCCTTAGAACCACAGAGAACAGTGTATCTCCACTCTCTTTATTATCACTTTTCAGGTATTTCATGGCTTTTATCCAATGTCCCCCCCCCCGAAAAAAAAATCCTAGTTTTTACAGCCTTTCCTCATGAATAATATTTTTCAGGGCTCTAATGCATTTTGTCTCTCTCTAAGGGGTGTTTCAAAAGTAGACATCATCATGGCTTTTCAGGAACTCAGGCATGGTGGGATAGGATTGCACTTGGATGCTTCAATGCCACTTACTTAGATGCCTAATAGATGGAATACAGTCTTACCTGAGTTCTGGAACTGCCAGTATCATACGTTTTTACATTGTCATTACGGTTGTGTTTTGCTCTGTCCTTTGGCTTCGATTTGCCCTACGTTGCAGAGACTTAAAATGCGAGAACAGAGAAGAAGCTTCTTTAAATTCCTGGCCTACAAAGTAATAACAGATGGCATCCAAACAGCAGTTAGAATGTGCTATCGCTACAGCCACTTGGACAAATAGTTTAACCTTCTGTTGTGTGGAGCATGCGGCTTTACATACTTCCATTGCAAAGCGAAGAAGCACAGCAACATGAATAGGCAGAAAACATATGATAAATACACTCAGGTTCACAGAGATAATGTAGAGAGCTTTCTGAGTTAACTTTTCCTCACGTGGGGTTGCATTTGTCTTCTCCTTGAGACACCTGATGACCTGTATAGAACAAAAGCTCAAGATTCCTAGGGGGATAAAGAAACCCACAATACTTTTGAATATTATTCTGTAGTCAGGTTCAAAAGAGCTCTTTTTAAAGCAAAATTTCTCCATTTCTGTGGCAACTGGTTTGAAGTAAGCATACATTGCTGTGGTTATCCAAAGAAATGCACAGACAGTGGCTGACTTCAACGGAGACCGTAAGGTAGTTGCTTTCAGAGGGTGTTTTATTGCAATATATCGATCCACTGCTATGAGAGTGATAATGTAGATGCTCATGGGAAAGTTTGTGAAAAATATCGTCTGTATTGCTAAGCAGAGGTTATCTATGGGATAGTCATTCCTTTGAAAATACATCACAAAAGGCAAAGTGAAAAGCAGGGCGGAGTCTGCAATGATTAAGTTGATCATGTACACTCTGGTTTCTGTCCATTTTTCCAGTTTGAAGCAGAACACCCAGAAGGCAAAAACATTAAAAATGACTCCAAAACAGAAAACTGGGATGTTAACTATCTGTTGAAAGAGCTTGATATTCTCCTGCTCTGTGCTGTTGTTGCTGATGTTACTGCAGCTCTCCATGAAAAGCAGTTTCTGAAAAAGAATTCAGATCTATGTGATGGAATGTGTGACTGATTAAGTTGTAATTTACCCACTTTTTAATATCTATATCCAGTGCACTATATGATTTCTCTGGTATTCTCATTCCATAGCTAAATGGTGCACTTGTCTTACCTTCCTCCCTTTTAGAAACTCCCACAATCCTTTCAGTCTTTAGAACTACAGAAACTTTCAGCATGTTTACGTGTTGCAATATTCTCTTGGTTTCCTGTTTTCTCTGTTGCACCTCATTGCATCCCATTCTCTCATGGCTCCCAGTCAGCCCATTTTCTACCTCTTGTCAACAGGTTTGCAAACAACTAACCTACTCTTTTCTTTTCTGTAGCAGGAAACAACTCCCACCTCCACACATTTAATACCTTTCCCTGCCAAGCAAAGAAGGCTGTGGTCAATGCACTGGTCTCCTTCCAACAAGTCCTGGACCTTACATTGAAACTATTCCTTCACCATTTGACTACTTTTCTCTGTCCTATTCCTCTAATGCATGTACTTCTCTTTTATCAAAAATAATGCTACCTTGGAGCCCATGAGTCACTATTTTGTCTGCCAAGCTGTGTCTGATGCTGTGTATGACACTTACCCTCTGACACTTACACACTCCCCAGTGTGGGACTTTCCCAGCAGAGATCAAAATTCTGTCATGCAGAGGCATACGCATTTCTTCTTATCTATACCCAAACAATATTTTTTTGCATTTCCACTACCTTTAAGAATCCCACCAATATATTATACTAGCCAGATCCATGATGCCCATTAGCCAGATCCCTTATATAATTCCTATATAGTCCGTAAAATGTGTCTTCCTTTCTTATGCTCAATGCAGGCAACAGTGGGGGTGTGAAATCTGAATAGCTCTCTCTTCAGTATGATGCAGTGGGAACAGAATCATACTTTTTTTTTTTTACTGAAAAAAATTAATGGGAAAAACATCTGAATGCTAACAGGAAAAAAAAATGCTAACAGGAAAAAATATAACCAGCCTCATTTGCTTTATAACTCCCAGAAATCAGGGAGGGAAATGAAAGAGGAGAAATTCTAGTCTGAGAATTAGAAATATTGGCTTAATAGCAGAGATGGCCTATAACATGAATCAGACTTCCCAGAGAATCCCACCGGAATCAGAACCTGACCTGGGTCAGGTGTTAGATTATGGTCAGAGAACGTGTCAGCATCGACAGTCCTCAAATTAATTGTTTCCAGTATTTCTAACATAAGCACTTTTTAGTGTTTATGGTTAAATTTTGGTGAGAACATGGGGACATGGGGCACCAAACTCTTACTGATAGGGAACAGGAACTAGGTGCCTTGCTCTCATTGGTTCCTATCATTATTTGTACTATGGTGGATCCTACATCCAACAGTTCCTGATGCTAGTCCCTGGGCTTGCAAGTAATAAAAGGATGACCCTGATCCCAGTGAGCTACCAACCTGTGATTCAGTTATTTTATTTAAGAACTGGAGAAGGAAGCACTACCTTCCACACATATTGTGGTCAGACAAAGTCTACTTACGGATGTATAATGCTTAAAAATCCTCATTTGCAAAATGCTATAGATGTGCAAATATTATCTATCAAAATGATGTATATATTATTTGCTACTCAGACAAATGCAATATTTACCTGAACCTGAATCATTCAGTCTTAATGGAAGGTGCATGATAGAACAATATCTAGAATCTGACAAAAGTTAGAATAAAAGTCCAAGGTCTACGAAGGCAGATAACATTTGAAGTATTGCTCTAACAATTTTTAAGATAATGAATTATTCTAACATTAACCTTAAATATTGACCTACCTTGAAAATCCTTCTGGCTAATTATGAAGAAAACTTTGTGCAAATTGGATAAGAATGAAAATGAAAGAATGAACTTACCTCTCTCTATCCCTGAAAAAAGGTTTTAGTTCACAAGAGAAGCTTCAGTGCAGACTTGATTAGCTGAACACCAAGGAAAACGGTTAGTAGACACAGATGTTGTTCTGCTTGAATTTGCGTTCCTTGAAGAGCAAAAGTTTTCCCCACACCTGAGACGCATCTGAAGCCACACTGCAGTAGTGGAGAAATTTATTCCTCATGCTCAAAATTTTCTGAGTTCTATTTTGGAACTTCCTTTCAGTTATAGATGCTTATCTGGAGCAGGGTGTCTCAATCTGTGGGCTACAACCCAAAAGTGAGCTGCAAGAATATATGAAAGGTTCACAAACAAACTTTAAAAAATGGATTCTCTTTTAAAGGAAAAAATGTGGGAAACTGTGGCTTTTCCTTTGCAGGCTGACAGAGTTTCAGCCTGTGAGAGCCTGCTTGGGGGCCTCCAGGCCCCACACATACCCGCCCCCTGCCCCACACGCTGAGAGCAGAGGCCTGGGGGTGGGGGGCAGCAGGGCAGGAGTGTGGGGCACTGAGTCAGGGCTGGCCATTGATGTTTACAAATGGGTCCTGGTACAAAAAAGGGTGAGAAACACTGATCTAGTCTCCTGTGTATCCGTTACCAATTTTATCTGTTGCAATGCTTCTCACCTAAATTATATTTTCTCTCAATAGGAATCAACATTTAATATTCAACATTTTCAACTTAAAGAGGAGTTCACTAAATTGTAAAAAAAGAACCATGGCATTTTGAAATGGACTTTCTGGAAGTAACAGATCCAACAATATCACAATAATATTTTTTTTATTTCATCCCAGAACAAGCAATTAATTGGCTAGCAGTTAAATTCCTACTAGCGTTCCAGGGGTGAGGTATTCTTGGCTGAGCACTTTAGAAACCCAGCAGTAATGACAGCAGAATGAGGCTGAGCATGTACTGCTTATCCTTTGTTCCTTTGCTGAGACAGCGCCTAGCCACTTGACATCTTTTTGCTAGTATTATCGGTGCTTGTAACAATGCAATGAAAACAGGTACATAACAGTCCTACACCAGTATAATTTATTCAAATCCAGTGTAGAATTACCTGTAGGGAA